GTTCTATCAATACAGATCGAGCTACGGATTCAGTCTCGTTACTTTGTAGACATACATTGTACATCTATGCAAAAAGAAAAATATCGAAACCGATATAAGCTAGAATCTTTTTACTCATAATTACCTCTTACTACTCTTACTGTCATCACGACTTTCAAGATAATCGAGATTTATGAAAGCTTTCAAAACTTTCGAAAGTTTGTGCTTCGAGTTATGTTTGAACTGATTCGAACTTTTCGCTGTATATTCAAATTCGAAGCAATGAAGTGTTGCAGATTTCATTACTATCTGCATCGCTATTATACGCCGCGTAAAATTTTATACACTTGAAAGGAATTCGTATTTCACTCTTTACCAATTCTTGCGATCTACATTGTCTGTATAAATCAATTAATTTCGAACAGAAATCATTACTTCATTTCACGTTCGATGCAACAATAAGGACAAGTCTCTTTCAATATTTTACTTCGTTAAAGTACACTCACTGAAGCTCGAAGAAGCTCGACAATAGCATTTGACATCGACAATACAGTCGAGAATTTGGCTACTTTCGACGATTAAATAAGCACAAGTAATCGTTTGAACTAGGACTTGATGAGACAAAGACGAAAATTTGTCCTTTTGGGCAGTAATTGATTCTTTGTATAATTACATCTAAAATCGATTAGCGAATATAATCATCGAATTGCGGATTTTTGGAAAATACAAGAATCATCCACGATGCATGTAAATTGCAAAAATGGGTGAAATATTTGACGTAAAATGCTCGTTGTAACATTTAGTAGGTAAAAAGTTTCGATTTAGATTCCACTTTTATTAAATTGTGTCTACAAAAATGTGACTGTGCATGAACATTCGCAGTCACTGTAATCGTTAATCAGTAATTTCTAAATCATTCGATAATTAATTTATACATTATTAGAATATAGAACAATAATTACATTAATACTAATAAATAAGAGCAATATTTTGTTTACAGCCATGAACAATTTTTGAGCAAAAATACTTTATTTTTTCTGAATTCTCACGAGAGAGGTAGATCATTTTTAGCTAATAGATTTCTAATAGTTTTCCAACATCCATTCTTATCTTCGATATATTTTCTCAGTAGCAGCTAATAGCGAGAAATATTTTTTATATTAAAGATGAAACTTTAATTTTTCCAACGATTAAGTGAATCTATAAAGAGTACTGAACTTCATTGAGTAAACATTAAAATCAAGAATGAAAAATAATCAGTAAGATGTAATTCAAGAAAAAAAAAAAAAAAAAATAGTATACTCGTTGCAATGACCGAAAACTTTTTTAATAAATTATTTGTTCCCGTTATACAAAACATTGTATCGAAAATTGAAACTTTTATTTTCCTTTATCTGTTTTCATTGAAGCTTGCAGTATGAGTGCCTTTAAAGAAATAGTATCTGTTAAAAAGTATTAAAAAAATAGTAGATCTTGCAGGCAAATATTTGATTGATCTCCTGTATGTATAATTTGTACTTTGTCTGCACGTAAAATTATGTCCTTTATTTTCACTACTAATAAGAAACAATACTAATAAAAAACAAAAATCTCCGACTAAATTACTTTGTAATTAATATTTTTCTAAAACAATCGTCCGGGGGATCTTCGTTTCTTATTGTAAATATATAATTTCATGTACATTTGTATATAATGATCGAAC